TCTGCTGTGAGGCCAATAAACCTGAAATAAGCGGTTTGCAAAAATGTACTGTAAAACACTTCCCAAAGTCACGGGTGCCAGCTAAAAAGCCATTTTTTAGCCTTTCACTGATAAAGGAAAGCACTTAAAGAATGAAAAGTTTAGTTTGCTGGTTTTGTGCTAACTAAAGCTTGTCTCTAATGACAAATATTTTAAAATTGGCCTGAGCAATAGAAAAACATTTGACAATTGAAGTTCCATAATAGAGCTATGTCAGGGACGAACCAATTTTGTCTATTGTGCAACAGAAAACTCATATGGAAATAACTAACCAAGAAACTAACAATAAACAAAACACGCACATACTATCTGTATTTCTTCAATGTACTGTAGAAGTAGAACCACCCCACAATTACCGTAGGTTTGCATAACTCCTAAAAAGTGTATCCTAGTGTTTAGATATAATAAAGTGTGCTTGCGTGATGATGGCTTGCAATATGGTCTAATTACAGCTGGCATAAACAAAACGGTGGTTAATCCGCACAAAATGTCCAACAGTTTACAGGCTTTGGCTTCAGTTCTACATTCTGAATGTGTAGGAACTTTCAACAAAGTTCAGTCCTGCTGCAATTCCCTACAATTATCTTCTACCCCAGTATATACAGTGACCTACATTCTGTAGTAAAATAGGTTCTGCCAGAGGACCCCGCATTTGGAGCATGTCCTGCCTTTTATGGGCAGATAAGCAAAACATTTTATATATTTTATAAGGAGAAAGAGAAGCAGAAAGATTCTGCTTTGTGTTTGCTTCTTTCTGATTCCCCATGTTACGAATGACAAATCAGCACTTCAAAGTAGTCACTAATGTCCATGTAGATACTAACTTTGTGAACAGGTATAGGACTATTAATATAGGTGAAGTCTTCCTTAGCCACAACTAAAATAAGTAAGGGTTCACAAGAGAAAAGTTGCATTTGAACTATTTTCCCTTCCTTTTGAGACTTATATAATTTCCTTTTTGTGATTTTTGTAGTTTATATTTTGTTCCTTTTTATTATTCATCTAAAATTGGCCAGATGTACAACAGAAAAGCTGGTAAAAGACAAAAATAAATAAATAAATAAATAGCCTTCTGAATGCTATAACAGCGTATCAATTGATCAATTACTGTGCAGTACTTCATATTGTTCTAAATTAGTAAAATCTAATGCTAAAACAGTGCATTTTTATCCAAGAAATGATACTGAAAATAGGGTTTATTTTAGAAGACATTCCATCTCCTCTTAGTTTTGATCAGTTCAATCACCAGTAGCTTATTTCTATTAATAGCAAGTATTTGAGAAAACCAAGTAGTAATAACTAACAAATGTAGATTTTTTTTCCAATTCTACCTACCAAAGTAGTTAGAATTCATTCAAGACATATATTGTTACATGCATTCTAAGTAAGATAATCCATCTTGTTGCTATGTTAGCTGAAAAGAATATGTTCAGAAGATAATGGACATTATAATTTTGATGATAGGCAGCTGGTAATATTTTCTAGTAATACAAGGGTGAATATTCCCAAAATTGTCATTTGGGAAGACAAATGGAAATTTAAGAAAAAAAAAAAAATAAAGGAACGGAATAGCTTTTTTCTTTTCTCTCTCTCTCTCTCTTTTTTTTTTTTTTCTTTGCGTGTATCAATGCAGTTCATTCTGTCTTCATATCACATCTTTTATGTGACTTCTCCTCTGATTATATCAGTATACTTATACCAGTATATTTAACTGATTCTTTGATTTCTTTGAAATTCATTGCAGTTACTACTGAAGTCTATTTTTATGTATTATAACACCAACAGCTGCAAGTTCATATGTAAAAATATTTCTTTTAGATATGTTCTTTTACAATTTTCTCACCATGGTATGATTTTTTTTTTATTATTGGATCTTGTTTTTGGATTCATAACTATTCGATTGACTAGCCAGAAGACGTAGATGCTGTGCTACTTAACTGAAAGAGAAATTTTAGATAAAAATAATAAAAAATAATAATAATCCCAGCAAACATAGAGATCCCCTCAGCAAAACAAAGTGATAATAATAAAAATAATATATATATATATATATTTGTCCAAATGGACCATTTTATAGCCCAAATAATAACACAGATGGTTATCAGGTGCTTGTAGAATAAACTATTATGTACATGAAGGTAATGAAAACATTGGTCCTAAAGAGGAGAGAGAGAAATTTCTTACAGAAGTTACATATTTTAGAGACCGTGAGATTGGTGGGGGTAATGTAATTTATCCAGAAATTATGTATATTGTAGACTGTGAAAGATAGCAGACTGGGGCCACTGAGAAAGAAAATGATCATAGACAGCTGAAATAAAGGGTTGTTACAAATGTCAAAAAGGTAATAAAATCATTGCAAAATAGATATGATGGATTTTTGGATTATTTTTATGTAATCAAGCATTAGCCATTGAAATGGTATTTTAGGATGAATAGTAGATTCCTTGAAACAATATTAAATAATGAAAGAGGAATAATATCTGATTTTAGTGCAGTGCTTTTTAGGCCTTTTATGCTAATTTAAAGGAATTATCTAGAATGAGAATAAGCTCCCTTAGGACCTACATGCAAGCTGAGGCTTCTTTGCAAACTTGCTGATCAGATCCTGAGTAGGAAAATAGGTCGTAATCCTATAATTATACACGAACACAGCTTCTTCTTGCATGCCGTGGGAGTCCCAACTTATTTTAGCAATTTAAAATTTATCTTTTTGTAACACCTTGGGACTTCTTATGGTCAGTAATGGAGCCAAAAAACCCACCAAATCTCCTAGTCCTCATTTTGCTCTATTCTCATTAGTGTTCATGATTCATACTGGCCAGAGTTTACAGCAGAAAGAAACTGAGACAGCGTACCATTAATGAAAATAATTAACTTTTTATTTTTCTTCATCACGCACATCCTTTAAATTCATGAAGTGATGCTTTCCACCACATGTAACCTCTTCAGCTTTCATGACCTTTCTGCAACTTTGAACAGAAAGCATTGCTTAGTTCATTTAAAGAGTGTGAGAGGGAAATGGAAAAAGGACAACTACTGTAAACATAACTCAAAAATTCATGACAAACAAGGTAGTTTTATGATTCTGTAGTTTCAGTAGGTGATGTTCTGTCTGGCAAAAAAAAACAGAACAAAAAACAAAAGTTGAAAAACTTTCTTTTGAAAAGAAAGTTGTTACCACATCACTTGTGGAAATATCTTTCACTCTATCAGTCTTCTTTTTTTTTTTCCTCTTTTAAATATTTTATGAATTATATTTATAGTCTGACCTACCTGAAGGCAGATATCAGTCTACCAGGAAAAGAAAACAAACAAACAAACAAACAAACAAACAAAAAACACCTGCCACAAGTAATGGGAATGCTGTCCCTGAAACTTTTGTTGGCTTCAAGTTTAGATCTCACAGAGTTCACAGAAGTTTGTATGTAGACTGACTATGATGGACACTAAAGCTGAGCACAGTTTAGATGTATCAGAAGTATTGCCTTTACACACCTGTCTGGAGAAACACCCTAATCAAGAAGGTGACTTTCCCAGGTTGGGACTTTTCTACCACTCTGGATGCACCAAGAACTTTAATTTTGCCAGCTGAGGGAAATCTGATTGCATGCTTTTGCTAGTGGTTGAAATGTTAAAAATAGTAGGTTTTCTCTTGTTTGTTTCTTTTAAGATTTTGAGTGGCTACAGTATTGCAGAAGTATAATAACAAATTATTTGACAAGAGTGCTGACCTAGATGATCAATTTCTGATGTAAGACAAGCGATTGCAGAGAGGTTTTGAATGACAGAGATAGGATTTACTCTTTGCAACTCCCTTAACTGTTAACAAAATTGGTTTTATGATAGAGGAAAGCTTGTCTCCACTTCACTACTGCCCATTGTGGTGTTTGCTCCCAGTTGTTTCAAAGTGAGAAAGCAGCATTTTACATACTGTCTTTATCAACTTCATATGCTCAATCGTGATTATTTTCAATAACTATAGTAGTAGATGATTAAATTCTGTGGGTCTGAATCGTGGTTTGTAATGCTGTTATCTTCTGAGTTAATACTGATCTAATAGTTTATATTGATGATTGACATGAGATGCTAACTATATGGTTATTTTCCGTATACCCATGAATGGAGTGGTATTCACTCTATCTTTACAGTGTTTTGAGATCTATAATCTGTATTGTATAGACTGGGCCACATTTGAAATCTCTGTAGATTTGGAATTCAACAGGAGTCTTGGGAAACAAAATAAAATAAAATCAACTTTGTAACCAACCAACCACACACTTAGAATTTTAAGGGGAAAATAATGAGCAGCTGCATTAAGACCTTTTCCTTGCAAATCTGACTTTTAACAGCATGACAGACAAATCTAGTTAAAATGTCTGTTCTCATTTTATTGTATAAATGTTCTGTTAAAAGAGTTGTTGGTACAGAGTAGGGAGAGCAGTTCCCTTTGGTCTCAAGTGCTGCCCTCTGTGTCAAGGGAGCCCCCTGAAAGGAGAAGGAATTTGCTTATCTTCCAAGATCAACCAAGATCAGCATAAAAAACACCTTGTGCCCTCCAGGAATGTCCTGCATGTGTTGCCAGAACTGGAAGACAAAAGGCAAGTGAAGGTGCAAGCCAGCAAACTGGGAACTTGCAGATGAAGGGCAGAATCAAGAGAGCCTTGGGCTAACAGGGTATTTGTGCATGCAGGAGGGAAGAGCTGCCCAGCTGAGATTTAGCAGTGATAGGAGAAAAGGAATTTCTCTGTGTTCCTAAGGGAGGACTGGGACTTGGATTTTAGCCAACCCACAAACCATTGAGTATGGTTGGACTGCAAAGAGCAAAGGAAAAGTCACATGTTGCCAAGACTCAACAATAACTTCCTTTTTAGGACTTTTGTTTTATCTGGCTCATCCTGCACAGCTGTTTTCTCCCTAATTACTTAGTTCTTCACTCCTGTGTAATGCATTATAAGTGAGTTAAGTCTAGATGTTTGAGGGCATGTCTTTGTACTTCTTCTTCAAGGAAAGTGAGAGCAATTCTACTTTTCAATTTGGAGTCCCATCACACAGCAATATGGTATTTTTCAATGAAATGTATTTACTAATGCTTTTGCTTCTTCTGTTTCTTTAGATTTGTTAATACATGTTGGTCTTAATAACTACTTTTGATACAGCTACATATATAAAGGCTAGTTTTTTTATTATTTTTTATTTTTATTATTTTTATTTTATTTTTCATTATTATTTATTTTTCCTCTTACCTGCAGTGCAACATCTCAGTGAGCAATTGTATCCAGACTAAGTAATTATTTTAATATCATTCTATTTCAACATAAAACATATTACAGATATAATTAAATAATGAAATTCACATAAAATATATGTGCTACTTTTGATAAAATATACATTTTGCTCAATAAATTGAATAGGATTCAGGTGAGGAATCAGACTACTTTATTTGGACAATTTCCAAAATCTAAAAATTGTCATACATAGGTGTTCTGGATGCTGTTGTTTGCTACTGTGAATGAATGAAGAAGATTGTATTCTTCCCTGCATGTAGGCATAATAGTGAATGATCCATACACAGTCATTCCTACAAAAGAGGCAAATTAAATCCTTCCTTGATATATCTCATTAGAAGTATAGACTCCTTTGTAGTGCAGACATTAACAAGGGTAATTAATCTTTTTTCTACCAATGGTAGCAAAACTAATTCATTTACAGAAGTAAAGCAAAACTTTGGAATTCAGAAGCAGCAGTATTCATCTCAATATTATTAGAAAGGAGAGTAGTCACAAAACTGATAACTTCTGTTAGCATGGAGGACTTGTACTTGCATAAATTATCCTATTGGTTTCATTGTACAGGAGGGGATATGCATGATTAAAGCCAGGGATCATTAACTTGCTCTGAGTTGTTTATGTTCTTTGAAAGAGGATGCTGTGTTTCAGAAAGATTTTTGTGGCAATAAGAAAAGTAATTTTTAAAAGTGTATAATACAGGGTAGAAAGAGAAGTTATCTTTCTTAATTTACCATTTAATCCTTTTAATCTCTGAAAACACTAGAAAGATAGCACAGTTAAGCCTTGCACGTTGATGTCTAGAACAGCAAATCTCAGTTAAATTTAAGTTACAAAGCTCAAATTTAGAAAATAAATCTACCTGTGGATGACAGTTTAAAGGAATCAAATTTTTCTAGACTTCAGAAGTCATCAGTAATATTTTAACAAGCCTAGAGTTCATGGTGACATGCAGTGCAGCTATAGATTAACCCATCAGACTTTAGGACTGAAAGATTTATTCATTTTTCTACTGACCCAGGAAGAGAACACACATACTATGCATGTTGTGCACAACAGTTCTAACCTCAAATGTATCATATTCTCCATGTACTTTTATGGTGCATTTTTCCCCCAATACCTGTCTGAATAACCACACTAACATTTTCTAAATACAGGTGGATTTAATTTCATTGATGGAAGGTGTGTTAGGTTAAATCTATAAACTAGTATGTACTGTATGTATGTACTGTATGTATGTATGCAGCATGTACTGAACAAATCTCATTGTGTCTCTTGGTATGTACCTAGGTTCTTAGCAATGAAAGTTTGTAGGTCTTGAGTCTTTCCTGGTTTGCAATTAGTATAACTCCAACAGATTCAGCTTAGAGCAGAACCTGATTTTTGTATTTTAAATCAGTTGTAAATTTATTTCCCCATTTCTTTAAAGCATCTGTTACTTTCAAGTACTTTTTCTTGGTGACTCCAACAACAAATGAGCTCTGGAAAGCCTTTGTTCAAAGAGCACATATTTAAAATAATGTTTTAGCATGTTGTTTCTATTCTGCTGTGGTGTACTTTTCTTTCTGCTCCCATCTGCACTGAGAACTGCACCTCTGGAAGGAAAACAAAATCACATGTGCATATGTCATACTAAGTGAAACTCTTCAATTGTGTTGTATGCAAAAGGACTAATGACAGGACTGCATATGTGACAAGGGAAAAATTGAAAGTCCAGGCTTGAAACATAAGTTTTAATTTATTTCAGTTAGAGAAGAGGTGGCAAGTGTGTGCTTATTTACTCACCAAATGTGACTGGTAATGAAAGTACAAAGTTACCTGACTAGGGTCAAAGTAATTTAAAAACAGCAAGCAAAGCACCAAATAGTCCAAAGACAAGGGAACCTTGACATCAATTTAATGTTCACCAGAACAGGTAAGTAAACTGTTTTTGAAGAAAGTACTCTTTCTCAATTTGGAGAAAATTAATTAAAAAAAAAAAGTAAAAAAAAAAAAAAAAAAAAGTATATCATAATGATTCATTGTGGCAGAAGGCAGAGAGTGAGAGCAAGAGAAGAGGACGAGGAAAGAGATTTTCTGTATTGCTTGTAATGGCCTTGAGAAATCTACTGGGAATAATTTTGTTTTCTTAAACTAACTGCTCTAAACTGCCTGGCTGCAAACCTGACCTATCATCATAGCAACAGGTAATGTCATAACACAGATCCATCACAATGTATTATTTGAATGTATTACATATCTTTTTCTCTCTTTTCTCTCAGTGTCCTCCAGCTCTCTGAAGCTGCTTTTGATGACAGTTATGGAAAATTAAAAAGGGGTGGAATGTGTGGGAACCAAGAGTCTGGGACACTACTGAACTGTCATAACTTGAAAACTGTGTCATCCATGAAATAACACATGCACCAGTTTATATTGTACTGTTTAGATTAGAACATAAACTGTAGCACATGGAAACTTTTCCATATGCACAGTGCCAGTGCCTAGGATTAAAGCTGGAGGTTTAAGTCTCTAAGTTTAGGACTAGAAGCCTCAAAACCTTGCTCAGACATTCCCTATCTCTCCTCTACATTTTATAGGATTTATTTATATATTTATTTATTTATTTTTTACACTGAGGTTCCCTTGTAAACTGAAGTTTAATGTCTGAGATTACCCAGAAACCGGATAGCCCACAGTTTTGAAGTGTTGCTTTTATTTGAATTTTTTTTTTTTTTTTTTTGTTCTAAATAAATTGCAGATTGAAGACGGTGGAATTCTGAATAGGAATTCAGTCTGTAGTACATGTAAATACTACAACGTAGATACAATAAAGTAGCTGCTAATCACTAAACATCATTAGCAGGGAGTTCTTGTGATGACTTGAACAGTGATCAGAAATCAGGAGATTTGTTTTGTGTTCTTATCACAAGACACTGTTTTATTTGTGACTCTGGATAAAGGCTGTTTATTCACAGAAGCTGAGTTTTGAAATGTAGATTAGGGCACACACTGACTTTCAAGAAACTGTGAGACCACGTGATTGAAAGCACAGAAAATTTATAACTAGCTCAGAAAGTAACACTGCAGGTCAGGATTGTGCATGGTGAGGCCATATCCTTAGGTGTTTAGAAGACTGTCTGATTTTAACTACTTTAAATTTTCATTGTCAGGTCTCAGATGAAGTTTTCAACAGATAATTATGGCAGAGCTATAATCCAGCTATTTCTCATTCTGAGACTGGGAATTAAAATCATATGGGGGTCAGAAATTACCTTCAGGGAAGGATTTTGAGGCTTTAAATTACATATAATTGGGAATCAGAATCATCCCACAACATTATTGGCATTGTTTGGGGAAAAATAATAAGGGATTATTGTCCTTAATGTTTCCAGGTTGAGAAGTTCTCTGTTTCATCAGGAAAGAACATTTAATCACTGATCATGTCACTTCTTAACCTTCAATTTGGAAACTAAAGTATTATTCTGCTTTTTATTTATTTATTTATTAATTTTAAGACATTTACTCCAGTCCTTTAATCATTTCCATGGACTTCTCTGAATGTTTATAATTTCTCATCGTCTTCTTTGAACGCATAATTAGACACAATAATCTAGCAGTGATGTCTTCAGTGTCAGTACATTTGTAATATAATCTCTTCACTCATACTTAGCATTTTCTTGCTGAAACTTTCAAGGACTATGGTATTCCACAATGAAAACTCATGTTCAAGTAATTATGCATGCTGACCTCTAAGTCACTCAATATCTCTTTCATTCTTTAGAATTCCCAATCCTAAAGAATGACTTACATTCCTTGTTTATAATTATGTTCTTGTCATTTGGCAACATAGAAACACACATCATTTTCCCACAATAGGTTTACCAAGGAATAGAGTTCATTATGCATTCTTGACATAGTCTTTTTCCTACTACTGGTTCTCCAGATCTTTACATAATTGACAAATATTACAGTAATGTATTTATATTGTCTTTCCTCAATTAATTGATTAAAAAAGCTAAATAGTAGTAAGCCTTAGTGTATTTACACTGAAAATATGGAGCTTATTATCCAACCACCTGTGTACTGTAAAAATGTATACTAGTTAAAAAACAAAAAAACAAACAAAAACGCAGCTCTCTAAAGCTACCAGTCACAAATATCTATTTTTTCTTCCCTTATCTTTTGCATTTATGACTACAAGCTCCTTCTCTTTTCTATTATAATTATTAGTTAATTGATGTTTTCAGATACCTTCTATGTCTGTTTTATCTAGCATATCCTTCTTCATCAGCAGAAATTTTGGGCACTTAAGGAATTCCCAATATCAATTGCAGTTAATTACTTTCTCCCAATGGATTTTACTCATTGTTATCAACCTCATAAATCTAGCCTATGAAATCTAAGAGAACTGTAAATATGTTGGAGGTTGGGACTTTGCTTTGCACTCTCTGACATCATTGATTAGATATTTCTTGTAATTTATCAATTGTTCATTATTTCTTGTATCAGTTGTTAATTTTTGCTCTGAGACCAATGCTTCTTTATATATGGAGATAAGAAGCTTGCAATTCCTCTATAGTAGTTATAACATTTTAGTTTTAGGTTATGTTTTATAATTTTATAAATCCTGAAAGTACTGAAGTGCTCCCTGCTTATGACTTTCAACGTGTCAGTAAGAATTGAAATCCCTGACGGTAGTACATCTTTTTCCACCTATGCACGATATATTGTTTTTTAAAAAGTTGATAATCCTGTTATCTATTGTGAATCTGGAGATCCACATATAGTGCTTTAT